AAGCTGCTCCAGAGAATCAAGGCTGGTTAGACTTGTCTCACATACTTTGGGAATGTTATCAGGAGAGGCTAAACTCTGGAGGCGGCCATTCTGCTGAGAAAAGTAGTGGGTGACCCAAAGAGAGGACAACCCCCAACAAGACGAACCACGATGAATACAGCAAAAGGCTCAGGCTCAACGAAGACTGGGAGGATGGTGCAAGGGCAGGCAGGCTTTCCACTGTGACAGGGTCTCTGAGGCAAAGCAACCAACAGCACCTACCAATAACAGGAAGAAAGGCCTGGCAAACAACTTCTGAACAACAGCCAATGAAACTCCAGGGATCACAACATTTCAGTCCAAATCAATCATGGGGATGATGAGGTTGGGGGCGGGGAGTTTTGTTTTAGGTCACTCTCAGCTTGGGGCCCACTGGATGAGAAAAATCCCCTTAAGTAATAACTCTCCTTCTCCCGCCCTTGGTGACCTCTAACAAACATTTATGTATTCGCTGTTGGAAGGACCAGGGCTCTGCTGTGTTTGTCCTTCTGTGTCTGCCTTCAGTGGAGCCTGGATTTTATGCAACTACGGTGGACAGTCACATGTTGAGACGTGTTGAGCTGGGACTCATCTGGGCTATGACAGCACCAGCTGCCGCTGCTAGCAGTGGATATTTGCAGAATTAACACAACACCCTTAGCACAAAGATGTCTTGACATTGTTGTTTCTATGTGCCATCAAGTCACTGGCAACTCAATGTACAACAGCTCTGAGTCCAGCCTTATCCTGAGGCAACCTTATCCTCTCTGACATAACTACCCTAATTACCCCAGTTACTGAATCAATCCATCTCATCAAGGGTCTTCCTCTCCTGCACTGTCCCTCCAACCTCCCAAGCACGACGACCCTCTCCAAAGACTGTTCCCTCCTTGCTACATGCCCAAAGTGAGACGGAGCTTCAAAATTCTTGCCTCCAAGGAGCAGCCTGGTTTCACCTTCTCCAGGACGAACCTGTTTGTTCTCCTAACGGTCCATGGTCTATTCAATATTCCTCTCCAGCATCACAGCTCAAAGGCATCAATTCTCCTTCTATCGTCTCTAGCCATTGTCCAGATTTCTGACGCATAGCAAGTGATTGTGAAGACCATGGCCTGTATCAGGTGCACCCTCGTCTCCACACTAACATCGTTGGTCTTCAGCACTCCGGAGAGGTCCCTGACAGCTGACTTTCCCAGTGCAATTTGTCTTTTGATTTCCTGGCGGCTGGTACCAAGAGTGTTGATTGTGGAACCAAACAAACTAAAGCTGTTAATCTCAATCTCTTCACCGTCACTGATGCTGCCAACCGGCCCAAGAGTGAAAATCATTCTTTTCGTTTAAATTTTATTATTTGTGGGGGGGGGGGGGGGGTACAGTCAAATCTGACTGGTACAGGAGGAGATTGCCCCTCCTTCCCCATCTGATGCATTCGAACCGCGTCCCTCTGGGGTTGCAGTGCAGCTTTTTGCCACTAGGCCACCAGAGCTCCCTGAGTATCATTCTTTTTTTTTTTTATATTGAGCTTCATTCTATATTTAAGGCTACAGTCCTTGCCCTTTGACAGAAAGTGCTGAAGTACTCCTCAGTGTCAGTGTCATGTGCACAATGCAGATTGTTGAGGAGTCTTCCTCCTATCCTGATGCCACACTCCTCCTCATACAGCCCAGCCTCCCGCACGATCTGATCCGCATATAGATTGAAAAGGGCGTGGAGATAGGATGCATCCCCGGCGGACATCCCTCTCGATTTTGACCCGTGTGGTTTCTTGACATTATCTGGGTATAAATGCAGAGCCAAGGCCAAGGCCGTGGACGCGACAGCGTGGTCCCCGCAAGGACTCTGGCGTGACCCCTGACCTACTTCCGCGTCGCGTGTAATGAGTCACTCAGCTGCGACGGCGGCAGCGCAGGCGAGGCCTCCCCGGCGCCCCCTGGTGGGCACGGCGCTGCCCTGCCCGAGCGGGTCCCGCGGGGACAGCGAGGCTCCGGCGCAGGACGGATGACCTTCCACGCGCAAACCAGCTCCCTCTCTCCGTCCAAACCCTCCACCGAAAGTTTAAAACAAAACAGAAACCCCTCCCTCGCGCTCGCTCCGCTTCCCGCCGCGGCCAGGCTGGCGCCCTGCCATCCAGGGCGGGCGGTCTCGGGGGTCTCGGCGCCCCACTTTCTCCCGCGCCGCAGCCCCGCCCCGTGCATGCGACACTCCCCGGCGGACTCGCGCATTAGGGGACGGTGTGCGTTTCGTTTGTTAAGCATAGTTTTGTGCATCTTTTCTGGGAAGAGTGGCCTTAGATTTCCCTGCATTGTTGGAAGGGTGCGCGACCCCAAGTCCAGGTTCAAGCCCTCCCACCCGCGTGGCAGGAAGGGGTCCCGTGGGCCGGGTCTGCACCCACGCGCTCCCTCCAGGTCCCTAACCTGCATAGACCACAGCCCCGCGTGGGACAAACTGCAAATTAAGTAGGGCTCCTCACTGACACCCCTACCCACCCCCCACGACTCCCTGCATGCTGCCCAGGATCCAGTCCCTATGAAAACCAACCCCACTACCCATCCGGCTGGCCCTGTGGAAGGGATACACCCGCCCCTGGGGTTTCTTGGGCGGTAAACCCTTATGAAAGCCGACTACCACTCTCCCTCAGGGCTGCAGGCCAGCAGACAGGCTTCCCTACCTGTCCTGCTCAAACACCTTCTAATCTGGGCTTCACGGCCGCCAAACCAACATCCCAAGCAGGCTGACTGGTAGTGACCTCAAGTGCTAGACAAGATCTGTGCTCCTTACAGGTTTGCCTGGCTGTAATCTTTACAAAGAGAACTCTGCTGGCTTAGCTGTAATGAGTTGTGCTGCCAATCCAAAGGCTCGTGGTTTGAATCCGCAGCTGCCTGGAGAGAAGAGAAAAAAATGAACAAACTCCTCCGGAGTGATTTACAGCTTCGGCTTCGGAAACCCTGCTGGGCGGTCAGCTATGAGTCGGTTCTCAATCAACAGCAGATTGCCAGCCCTTTCATTTGCTGCAAGTGCAAACGGCACACTTATTTGTTATTGTTTATGTACCTTTGAGTCGCCTACAACTCATAGTGACCCTATATACACAATAGCTCCGAAGCCTGCCCTATCCTGAGCCAGTCTGATTCCAACACACCAACCCCCATTGCCCCAGTTACTCAGTCTATCTCATCCGAGGTTTTCCTCTCCTGCACTGTCCCTCCACCCTTCCGAGCATGATGTCCTTCTCCAAGGACGTGTACCTCCTGGCCACGTGCCCAAAGTATATGAGATAGGGCTTCAAAATCCTTGCCACCGAGGAGAAACTTGGTTTTACCCTCTCTGAGACAGTCCTGTTTGTTCTGGGTGTTTATGCTATGTTCAATACTCTTCCCCAGCACCACACCTCAAAGGCACTGATTCTTCTTTTGTCACCCTTAGCCATTGTCTAGCTCTCTGATGCACGGTATGTAATTGCAAAGCCCATGGCCTGGATCAGGCCAATCTATTGCTATGTACCATCAAATCAAGTACAACTCATAGCAACTCCATGAGTTGAGATCTGAACCCTGTCTGTCCTGCGCCCTCCTCCTCATCTTGGATATACTTGCGCCCATTGTCATGGTCACTGCGTCAATGCATCTTGTTGAGTCTTGCTCTCACACTAACCTTCCACCTTTCCAAGCACGACGTCCCTTTCCGAGAAATAGCCCCTATTAATAACATGCCAAAAGCATATGAGGGGGAACGTTTCCCATCCTTGCCTCCAGGGAGCACCCTGGTTGCACTTTCTCCAAGACATGTTTGTTCTTCTGACTATGGGATATTCTGTACTCTAACACAACTCAAATGCATCAATTTTTCTGTCATCCGTAGTCATTGTCCAACCTTCAGAGGCATAGCAAGTCTCTGAAAAGATCATGGCTTGGATCAGACACAATCTAGTCTTTAAACTGACATCACTGCTCTTGGGCACTTTGGAGACTGGTTAAGAGTTGAGTGTGAAGCATCATTACCATGCAGAGACCCCCATGCCCGAGCAAGGGCCCCACATCATCTTGGCACACAGGTATTGCTGCCTGCCCACCAATACCCTCTCCCTCCACCTTCCTAGCATTCTCTCTTGCCTTTTCCTCTGCTGGGTCCTCACTTCACCTCCTAGACTGACTTCTCTTTAATTTTCATTAAGTCAAACTTCACCTCTTCCAGGAAGCCTTCCCTGACCACTCCCATACCCCCTTCTGAGGGGGTTAGCATCTGCCTAGATACAGTTTTATGCCCAAAGAAAGATGGGTCCTTTCCGTTTTCCTTATGCGGTGAGATTCACACCTCATTTTATCCCTATAAAAGTCCTGTAGTTATGAGTCCCAAAGCTGGAGGAATTCTAACTTGATCGAATGAGGAAGAGCTTCCAGGTCTCACATGGCTTCACACGTGCTGGCTCAGATTCTCAGGAGCTGCAGACAACTCCCTGCCTCCCGTGGCTGCTGGCCCTGCTGGAACAGTTCCTGAGGATGGTGGTGGTGGTGGTGGTGGTGGTGGTGGTAACGGGGAGGAGCAGGAGACAGCGCACAGACTATGTGTTAACAGCAACACTAATAGTTCCTTTGAAAATAATTGCGGTCACAGTGAAGTCATGGCACCTGTCACATGTTCAAAGTCATCAGCTTTGCCTGGGTTTTCTAAGAGCCTCTGCAAAGCAGGTGCCATCACTGATGCCATTCTCCCCATGCGGCTGTCAATGGGACAGCCAAGACCTCCCAAATGACAAACCTTGGAAACCATATTGATCTGAGGCCCCAGTTCTCAGCCTCCACCAGATGCTCTTGAGGGCCACGTGGGACTTGATCCTGTAGATACGTGACAGGGAAGGGTGCTGGCAGGCAATGGGGTGGGGTGGGGCCTGAGGCACAGACCTGGGAACAGGACCCAAGGGAGCTGGCCCAGCACAGTTCCCAGGGCCTCCCTCTCTCCCTCAAAGAAGGCAAAGTGGCCGAGGGCTGACAGTGGGAGGGAGTTTATTTATCTGAGAAGGGCGGGCAGCACGTCAGGGCAGGGGCATGTCCTCCAGCTTCTGGTCCAATGTCTTGAGGTCATCCAGGAAGCGGGTGGGGGTGAGGATGTGTGAGGAGCCTGGGCCAGAGGGAAGGTTGGGGAGGTGAGGTCACTACCTTGTCCCGACACCTGCCAGGTTCAACCCCAGACTACGGCTCGATCCTAAGGATGGGAGTTCTCAATTCCAGCAACCCAGGAGTCCAGCCCCTAGGGACACTTCCCTGGGGGACAAGTCCTAGCATTAAGGGACCCTAGCTCTCAGCCCTTTGAGGGTCCAGAAGTCAGCCCTACCTTTTTAAAGAATTTAGGAGTCCAGACTAGCCTCTCAGGTATCCAGGAATGGGGAGACCATCACCTCTCCTCTAGGTGCCCCAGGTTCCAGCCCGGCCCAGGACCCACCTCAGAGCTTACCCCACCTCAGGCCCCTGCTCACCTATGAGCACTTCCCATTTGCCTTCAGTGGCCCTGGTCACCTCGTAGGCGGCCCTCATCTCCGACATGGCTACGCCGCCCACAATGTACACAATAAGTCGGGGTCCCGCCCGCGCCTCCAAGCCTGCCTTGTTCTTGTGCCAGTGGCCGAAGCGGGCGCTGTGTGGAGGTGCAGCAGGGGTAAGGCCAAGATTCAAAGGCCTGAGTGCCATTGGGGACATGGTCAGCCCTGGCAGGTGGACTCCCCAGCCCCGAGTGTCCCCAGGCCCTCACCTGACAGCGGCCTGAGAGCTGGACACAGGGGCAGGGTCAGACACAAAGGGCCACAGCTTCCGATCTAGCCGGTCCTCTACGACATCCTGGGGTGGCCCGAGAGGAAGGTCAGGAGAGAAGCTCCAGATAGGGGAGGGTGGGGGGGAGGAGGCAGAGAGCAGAGTCTAGCCCCCAGGGTGAGGCCAGGGCCATGGGAAGTTCCACCTGCTCAAGCCCTGCCCCCTGGGGAGATCTCAGCCCTTTACACAGGTGTCTTCAAGTCCATTCCGACTCATAGTCACGCTAAGTGAACAGGCTACAGCTGTGCTCTGGAGGGTTTTAAACCTGTGCCTTTCTGAAAGCAGATCACCAGGCCTTTCTTCTGAGGCACACCGGGGTGGATCGGAACCTCTGACCTTTTGACTAGTAGTCATAAGTGATCGTTCCACCCAGGGTCTCCCCCAGCCCCTGAAGAGCCCAGCAATTACCCCTGTCCTGCTCGAATTCCTTAGGGACTCAGAAGTCATTCCTCCCAGCCCTGTGAGGTCCCAAGAGCCTGGCCCTCCAGCTCCATGGGGATCCAGGAGTTGAGGTTTGGGTCCATAAGGCCTCAGGAATTATCTTGCTCCAGCTCCTTGGGGACACTCAGGGACGAGGGCGCTTATGCCTCCAAGATCTCAGGGAATAAAGGGGCCCTGGGTGGCTGGACACCTAGTGGGAGGTGCCAGGGCTCCAGGAGGATGGTGGCAGGGAAGGTGGGGTTCAAAGGCAGGTGTGAGGGGGTGGGAGCCTCTGGAGCAAAGAGGAGGTAGGGAGTGGTGGTGACCAGAGAATTTCCCATTAAGCCCACCGTTGAACATGAGAAGAGAGGAGGGAGGCAGAGCCAGGACCAGGACAAGGCCAAGGCCAGGGCAGGACCTGGGTGGGAGTCACCTCCCCTCAGCAATACCTCCATCACATCCTTGATGACCGGCGTCCAACGGGACAGCTGGTAGGTGGGCTCCAGACGTTCCCGGCGCACCAGTCGGCTGGAAGCACTCAAGCCCTAGGGGAGGCGGGGGGCGGGGAAGCAAGGGGGTGAAGGATGTGGGTCACAGATGGAGTGGGGGGGGGCCTCACCTGTTTGTGGAAGTGGGTGCAAACAGATGGAGGAATGGGGGACACAGAGGGAAAGAGACGGAGAGAGAAATATAAAAGCAGTGAGAGAAAAAGCACAGAGCTCTGGTGGGACAGCGGTTACAGCGCTCGGCTGCGAACCAAAAGCCTGGAACCCACCAGCCGCTCTAAGAGAAAAAACATGGCAGTCCGCGGCTGCAAAGGCCGCTTGGAGGCCATGCAGGGCCGTTCTCCTGTGTCCTGTGGGCTCCCTATCAATCAGAGTCAAGTGAGCAGCAAGGAGTTTTGAGAAAAAGACAGAGAAAGAGATGAGGTAAAGAGTAAAAGGGAGAAATACACAGGGACAGAGAGAGATGGAGACAGAAAGAGATAAGGGACAGAGAGAGAGACCCATCAGGGAGAGAGGGATAGAGATGGGGACAGAGAGAGAGACAGGTCAGAAAGAGAGGGATAGAGATGGAGATGGGGGGACAGAGAGAGAGACAGGGACAGAGAGAGATGGGGACGGAGAGAGATAAGGGACACAGAGAGACACAGGTCAGAGAGAGGGGATAGAGATGGAGACAGAGAGATAAGAGGGACAGAGAAAAAGATATGGGAGAGAGATGGTGGACACACAGAGATGGGAGACAGAGGGATTAAGAGTCACAAAAAGAGATGGAGACAGAGAAATACGGGGACAGAGAGAGAAAGGAGACAGAAAGACAGGAACAGAAAGAAATGGGGACACAGATGGGGACAAAGAAAGAGGAGACAGAAATGGGGAGAAAGAGATGGAGTTAGAGAGAGGGAACAGAGAGTGAGACGGGACAGAGATGAGGGGCAAGGAGACACAGGACAAAAAGACATGGCAAAGAGAGAGATGGTGGACAGAGAGAGATGGGAAAAGAGAGACGGTGGACAGTGTGAGATTAGGGACGAAAAGAGACATGGAAAAGGGAGAGAGATGAGACAAAGATGAGGAAGCAAGAGAGTTGGGGAATGATGGATAGGGGACAGAGAGAGAGATGGTGGAAAGAAGAGGGGACAAGGGGGCCGGCAGGAAGCTAAGGGGGCAGACAGGGCACACAGAGAGAGACTGAGGGGAGACAGGGACAGGAGAGAGGTGCAGATGAGCAGTGAACACGGAGCCAAGGGAGGCGGTCAGTGAGCACAGAAAGACTGTGTTTGACAGGGTTGTGTGGGGTGTCCCCTGATACTTCTTGGAGTCTATGTCTGACTGTGTGCTCTACTCCTAGTGCTGGTGACCCCACCTTCCCTCTCAGACTCTAGCTGCCTGCCTCACACTGCACACTCAGGCCCAGGGCTGGGACCAGATCACCCCCACCCAGATTGAAGGTTCCAGGACCCAGGCTGTGACCCAGTGGCTGCCTCTCCTTCCCCTGCACCCCACGTACCCCAGGATTGGTGACAGTGCCCCCCAGCTGCTCCAGGTTCCGGATGAGGCTGCAGTGTGCCTGCACGTTGGCGTGCTGGATCAGCTTGGCCAGGTTTTCCTCGCTCACACCTGGGGGTGAGACTTTAGTAAGGCTATCTCCTGGGGCTCAGTGAGATTGGCGGGGATAAGGTGGGGTCTCAGTTAGAGGGTTTGGTGTGGGGAAAGTTCTCAGGTGCGTGGAAGCCTCCAGTTTGTGCAAGGAGGATCCTGGGACTCAGGGGGACCTTTGGAATGGGCTGGGTGGTCTAGTTTGGAGGAGTCACAGATTTGGGGGACCTCCATGTCAACTGGATTTCTCATGTCCGCAAATCCCCAGTTGAATAGAAGGGGGTCCCAAGGCCCAGAGGTGTGTCTGGGGTTGGCATTTCTGGAAAGTAGGGGTGTCTCAAGGACAGAACTGTGGGGCTAAGAAGAAGCCTGGTGCCTGGAGTGCCCTCCATTCACCATGCCCTACCATTCCGCAGTAAGATGTACAACAGCAGGACCCGGATCTTGTCGTAGGCTGGCACTGAAGTGTCCAGCAGCACGGGGACAATCAGCTTCATGGCGTCCTTGATCTTCTCACCCTCTGCGTCCGAGCCCATGGCCAAGTCCTGAGGGACGAGAGCCAGCTGTCCTTAGGGCCATACCAGTGGGATGGGGTAGGGTGGGGTGGGATCCCTGGATCACCTATTGGCCTGGCCCCTCCCCGTCCCGCCCCTCTACAAGCTTATCCCTATTTCCTTCCCCCCCTGCAGACCTGGCCCCTCCAAAGCCCCTCTTCCCCGGCCCCGCCTCCTCCCATAAGCTCCGCCCCTCTCACAGTGCAGCTGGGTCGAGTCCCACCTTTCCACAGGCCCGGCCCCCTCAAGCCCACCCTTCTCCTGGCCCCTCCCACTGCAAGTGGTCACTCCCTGGCCACGCCCCCCGCAGGTCCCGCCCTTCGGTGCCACGCCCCTTCCCAGCTGTTCCTCCCGGGCCCCGCCCCAGGACACAAGCCCACCGGCTTCAGGCGGCAGCTTCTCCACACAACCCTCAAAAGCCACGCCCCCAAGAGGTTCCGCCCCCTCTTGCTCCACCCTTCGCAGTGCCACGCCCCCGTGACACGCCCCCACCTGCTCGACGCTGCACAGCTTCTCCACACAACCCTTGAAGCGCTTCATACAGTCATCAGCTAAATGCAGGTGTGTGGAATACTGTGGGGTAAGAGGAGGATGCGGAGGTAACAGAGGCTGTGCCAAGGGCAACAGGGGCTCGGGGCCACGGCCACCTGCCCGCCCCTCTCTCCCACCCTCACTTTGTTCAGTTCCTTCTGGTACTGGGGCATCTTTTTCAGGATGTGGGACAGGTCCTTGATGTTGGCCTGGGTGGGTGGGGAGGAAGGAAAGGGCATGGGGTAATGTAAAGCCAGGGCTCACCACCCAGGATCCCACCTGGGTGCTCCGCCCCTCCTGCCTGCCCCAGCCCACCCCTACCTTGTCCGTGGTGAGCCTCTTGCTCTCACAGAATGTTTTCAGAAGCTCTGTGACCTTCCTAGCGGGGAGGATGGGAAAGAGGTGAGGTCGCATGGTGAGGCTGTGGAGTGGGGGAGATGGTACCACCATGGTACAGCTGAGGAGGTGGGGCCAGGCACAGCAAAAGGCGGAGCCCAGAAGCAGAAGTGGGAGGGGGTGTGTGGCCTGATTAGGGGTGAGACACCAGAGAGGAAGTTTCCTAGGAGAGTGGAGACTCCAGTGTGGCCAGGGGTCACCAGACCAAGTCTCCTGCAATCCCTGGAGAGGGAGGGAGGCCCGGTGCAGATACAGGCGGGACCTTGTGCAGAGGGGCCCGTGCCACCCAGCACCAGTGGGGACGCACTTGGACACGTCCGCAATATGCATGTGACGCAGCTCCACCCACAGGTCATCGTCCTCGTCCAGCAGCACGACCTTCTCCCGTGCTTCGCTCAACCCTGTGGTCTCATACCTAGAAGGGAGGAGGCTCAGGGACCCGTAGGAAGGGCATAGTGGCGACCGCAGGGGTCCGTGTTCCCCGCTTCTCACTTGTACGTGTCCTGCTCGATGTCCAGCAGGTCGTAGGCCATGGCCTGGAATGTGAGCTCATGCAGCAGAGGAGACACGGGGTCAGCAGCCCGGTCCATGATCAGTAGCTGTGAGCGGGTCTTCTCAGGGCCCTGGAGGTGAGGGTGAGGATCTTGGCTTTGACCCTGGCTAGACTGGCCTTGCACCTAACCCCCTCCCCGCCCCATGCAGCAACCCCTCACCTCGCCCAGGCTGGGTGTATCAGCTTTGAATGCATTGAGCTTGGCCAAGACTGCATGGGCCAGCTGGGCTGTGTCCTCTGGACCTCTGGAGGGGAGGAGGGTGATCAGACCCAGGGCCATGATGGTGCAGGGTGGGAAGTGCTGGGCACAGATGAGGGGTCAAGGGTGGGTATCAGAGGTGAAGTCAAACAGCCATGCCAGACACCAGGTGAGGACTAGATGAGGAGTCTGGCTGCAGAACGGGGTGAAAGTCAGGGGGGTATTGGGGTGGGGTCCCCACTTGCGGTAGCGGATGGCCGGGTACTCCTGCAGTGTAGCACACAGAGTGGCGATCTGCTGGGCCAGCGCCTCCAGCTGCCGCGCCCGCTCCCCTGCCCGAAATGGGCAGTACAGGTTGTAGGTGCTGTAGGGAGCATCCAGGGAGAACACCTGGGAGGGCAGAGCCCCCTGTGAGCACGCCTGCTTCTCCCTAGCTGTCCCTGGTCCCTGGTCCCTGCGCTGCCTTCCAGAGCATCTATCTCAGCTCCTGACCCACTGTGTCCTGTGGCTCCACCTGAGAGAACTCCAACCATCCCTTCCCTTTTCCCATGCTCAAATCCTCATCCTGGCCTCTGGGTCTGTCTCTGAAGGTTCCCTCAGATAAACTGCAGGCATTTGGTCTCAATCCCATTTTGGCCATACCTGGGCCTCATAGGGGAGGAAGGCAAGGTGGATCTCTTTCAGTGTCTTCACCGCCTTTGCCAGCCGAGAACGGCCCAGCTCGCTGAACAGGGGCTCGGGGCAGGCTAAGGTGGGCAAAGAAGCATGAGGTGGGAGACCCCTGTACCCCGTTGCCCTGGATCCTGTGCCCCAAGGCCTCCTCACTTACTGTCAGTGAAGAAGACATGGGCTGCTTTGTAGGTGAAGGTTGGGGTGCCGCGGAAGTCTGCGATCAGAGCCTGCACAGACTAGGGGATGCAATCACTTTCTAAGCCTGACCCGGCATCCTTAGATCTACCCCTACCCTGCCCCTAGCTGCCGCCCACCCATCCTCCACACCCACACACAGGGACAAAGGCATGCACACCAACACACATTACTCATATGTGCATACAACTCAAACTGGTACAGAGAGACATACACGTCCACATGCCTGCAGAAACATGAACACCCAGGTATATATATATGGATATGCACGTACACACACATACACATACCTGTGTGTAGCCACATGCAAACAAATGCAGGTACATGGGCATGGTGCATGCATACGTGCAGACACGCATACACACGTATGTATAAACCCACACGCACGCGCATATACATAGCATTGTACACATATATGTACACCCACACAAGTGCCTACCTACATACACATACGGTTATCTGAACATGCATGCATACCCATGCAGGTACCTGTACACCCAAAGACACATGCACAACCACACATGAACGTGCACGCACACAGTGACGTTTGCACACCCAGAGACCCTGGTGCCCCTGCAGGCACCTTTTCCGTGGGGCTGAGCAGGTAGATGGCCTCCAGACTGGGGATGGGCTCTCGTCGCTTGTTGATGTCTTCAACAACTTGAAGGATTAGAAGGGGGAAACACAGTGGAGGGTATCAGGGTGGAGGGCATACGGGGGCTGGAGACTCCAGGAGTTGGACACTCAAGGGGGACGAGGCACCTAAGGAGCCTAAGCAGGACGTGGACACCCACCCGGGGGGAACAAACGGCTAAGTGTTGTGGGCGTGCGGCCTGACCCTAAGGGTTTCCTATACATGGCTGTGTACCCTGGGAGTCACACACGTGCAGGGCCCACCCTGGAAGGTTTATATGAGGTTGACACATAAGCACTGTATGTTTTGGGAGGCTGACCCCACATGGGTCCAGCTGAGGACCCTGCCAGGTAGCCTCACCCTCAGCTGCATGTTGGGGGACCATGCTTGAGAGGCTCGCAGACTCAATGCTATACATCCAGGGAGCTACATACTTGGCAGTTGGGGACCATTTAGGGAGGCCATACATTTAGGAAGCCCACACTCTAGGGCCTGGAGGGTGTGTGAAGCGGGGCGTCCACTCACTGGTGATGCCCTCAGCCAGGATGTCTGACATCTTGCAGCAGGATGACAAGATGCGCATGCTTGGATGGTCCATAATGAGCACCTGGAGATGGACAGAGGACAAACATGGGGCAGAGAAGCTTCAGCTGCACCCACCCTCACCCTCCGGTGAACTGGGGTGTGGACATGGCTGATAGCTTCAACGACAGGATGGGTGGAAAGACCCTTCCAGGAGGTGGGGGGTGGGGGTTGACCAGGCTCCCCAAGCTTTCTGCCTCACTCATACCTTCCATTCTCCATCCTTTTTGACACTGCGAATGACTCCGCTCAGAATTTCTGCAGAGAAGAGGGAAGAGGGGCTCAGGATGCTGGCCCTCCCCTCCTGCCACACCCCAACCCTTTTCCACTTTCCCACTCTCCCTCTGCCTATCCCTGGCAGTAGATGCTTGTGGACCCCAATTGACAGACAAGGCAATTGAAGCTCAAAAAGAACATATATCTCCCAGCTACCCTCAGTGTACATAGCAGTGTCCCAGTGATAAGTATCAATTAGTTAAAGAGGCTCTTATGGAACCAGTAAGCAGAAAACCAGGGCTCCTGTTTGAGTCTGGCTGAGGTGTCTCTAAGCTCTGCCTCTTGCAGCTTTCAACACCCTTTCCCGTCCTGGATTCCTGTTCTGAGGCTTGCATGGCTGTAGTCATCCCATCACCCAAACCCTAGACTCAGTTTCCTCATCTGTTAAAATACATCAGGGGTTTTCTGCTCTCCCCTTTAGTCTCGGTCTAGGGGTGGGGAACACCTCTCTAGTTGTAGTGCTGTTGGTTTGAGCTGCGTTCTGTCCCACCCAGCGGAAGGGCGAGAAAAGGGACAGGGTGTCCCCTGTAGGCCACCCAGCGTCTTGTCCACTGTTATCAGAACCACCAGACCGGAAGGAGCAGCTCAGGCCGGAACTACCCGTGGTGGAGGAGGGGAAGTGGGGGACCTCCACCTCTTCCCCCAGAACTTGAGCTTGGGGCACCTGGACTCCTGGATCTTCATGCTGCAAGGAGCTCCCAAGGGCCGCAGACTTCCCTAGCTAACTCTCCCTCCACTCTCTCCCCCTCTAGGCCTGGACACACCCCCTGGAGTCCCTGAACGCTCACACCACTTGATTGCTGACCAGCGCACTAAGTCACATTCATGTCACACCTCGGGGCTTCAAGAATCCAGCATCCCCCACACACACACACACACACACACACACACGCCGTGAACTTGGCCAGACTTACAGTCTGGATGTCCAGCTGGGCACATACGGGGCCCAAGTGTTCGGGGCCCCAGCGTCTGCTGCTGAGATCGAGGGTTCTCATGCAGCAACCCTCAAACCAGCCCTCTGGGTACCCTGAGGTCAGTTTCCAATCCTACTCCCTTCCGGCCCAGGGAAGGCTGGTGGCCAGCTGGGATCGAGCCTCGCCCGCCCCCTCGAGGATCCAAGACCCTCAGATGTACAGCCCTCAACTCTCCACCGCCGGGGACCCAGGAGCCCAGCTCCACACGGGACCCGGGGGACCCAGGCGCCCGGCACCGGGCGGACACTCACTTTCCCCCACCACCGCCTTCAGCCCCGAGGGCGCCATCTTCCCCAGGGGCGCCGCCGCCGCTTCCGGGTCTGTCCCAAGGTGGGGGCGGGGCCACACGCGTCATCCACGTGAGCCACGCCCCGGACACGCCCCCCGCGCACCTGGCCCCGCCCCGCCGCTGAGAGCTCGGCGCTGGCGGGGAGGTGTGTGCGCCGACGTGCACGCGGACACTGAGCGGGCACGTCCCCGACGGCAGCGCTCAGTCCTCGTGACACTGGACGGGCACAACCTTCTCCTGCCCGGGCTCCTGGCAGGGCGACAGAGCCTTCGTCTCTCTGGGCCAGGTGTCAGCCTGTTGGAGTCGCTCTGTGCTGAGGCCATGGCCCCACGCTCTGGGCCCGGAGCCACGACCCACTTCTGTATGTCTGTGGTTAGAGACTCGGGGAGCATGTGACCCACTCTGCAAGTGGCCTGGATGGTCCCTGAGTGGCCGAACTCTGGGGAGCATGTGACCAATTCTGAGAGAGGCCTGGATAGTCCCTGAGTGGCCCCAACACTTGAGTTCTGCCGTTTACTTAGGATAATCACACAACACACTTAATTGGGAGAAGGACTGAGATGGCTCAAGAAGCAGGTATTCAAATAAAACAAGGAGACACTGCAATCTTTTCTCCATATCTATTCAAACTTCGTTCTGAATAAATAATTTAAAAATTGTTGTTGTTTTGTTGTTATGTGCCGTGGTGGAGTTGCTTGCGACTCATAGCGACCCTAACCCTAAACCCTGCTCTATCTTGTGCCAATCGCACTGCCTCTGACACACCCATCACTGAGTCAATCCACCTCATTGAAGGTCTTCCCCTGCTGAGCTGTCCCTCCACCCTCCCAAGCATTATGTCTCTCTCCAAGGACCTGTCTCTCCTTACAACATGTCCAAAGTATGTCAGATGAAGCCTCAGAATCCTTGCCTCCAAGGAGCCGCCCGGTTTAACCCTCTCCAGGATGAATCTGTTTGTTTTCTTAGCAGTCCATGGTACTCTCAATACTATTCTCCAGCACCACAGCTCAAAGGCATCAATTCTCCTTCTATTCTCCCTAGTCATTGTCCAACTAAAAAATGTGGCAACAGGATTGGAGGAAGTCTCATCAACAACTTGCTTTATGCAAATGACACATACAACTTTGCCTGCAGAAAATGAAGACTTGAGACACTTACTGATGAAGCTTCACCTCACTCTAAAGAAAGTAAAATTACAAAGATCAGTTAAAAACACCATGACAACGAGGGAAATAACTGAAGTTCATCGTGCTTGGATCCATGATCAACACTCATGAAAGTAGCAGTCAAGAAATCCAGTAATACCTTTGTTGTTGTTATGTACTGTCTAGTCACTTGCAACTCATAGCAACCCTATGTGCAACAGTCCTGAAACCTGCTCTATCCTGTGCCAACATTACTGTCTCTGACATACCTACCCTCATTACCCCAGTCACTGTATCAATCCATCTTATCAGTGGTCTCACTCTCTTTCTCCTACCCTCCACCCTTACAAGCATGACGTCCCTCTCCAAGATTGATCCCACCTTGCAACATGTCCAAAGTATGTCAGACAAAGTTTCAGAATCCTTGCCTTCAAGGAGCAGCCTAGCTTACCCTCTCAAGAATGAACTTGTTTGTTCATGGTATAGTCAATACTCTTCTCCAGCACCACAGCTCAAAGGCATCAACTCTCCTTCCATAATCCCTAGTCATTGTCCAGCTCTCTTATGCATAGCAAATAACTGCAAAGACCATGGCTGTGAAAACTAGGCCAGGTACTGACTGTGAAACAACCAACCACTTACTCATATTCAAGTTCAAGCTAAAGCTGAGGAAAATTAAATCAAGCCCACGGGAAACAAAATTTTACCTTGAGTCTATCCCGTATGAATTTCAAAACCGTCTCAGGAACAGATTTGAGGCCTTGGACATTAATGAGCGAAGACCCAATGAGCTATGGGAGGATATCAAGAATATCATCCAGGAAGAATGCAAAACGTCATTACAAAGACAAAAGAGGAAGAAAAGACCAAGATGGAT